ATTGCTTACTTAAAAGACATATAATAGAACATAAGTGATCATTAAAATCAGGAAGAAATAAAGTGAACTTCAGGGTATATGCTATCCACCTTAGGAAACATTGCTAGAACCTTAGACGTCTCCACTGTGCCTTTCCCAGTTCCCATTCCTCCACCTCCAGAATCTCTCTGGAAATGTATAGATGTATAGATCAATAGAACAGAATTGAGAACGCAGAAGCAACCCCACACACTTATGGTCAACTCCTTTTCAGCAAGGGTGCCAGGACAATCCAATGGTGAAAGAATAGTCTTTTCAACAACTGGTCTTGGGGCAACTAAACAACCAAATATAAACCCACAAAGTAGGAGGAATGAGTATCATGAATCATGTTAACAGATTAAGCCTGAAATATTTGAGTAACTCCACTTGGTCTAGAAGTATAGTAAATATTATCTCTGCATTCCTACCTTTGTTTTATAATATCTTCTTTCACATGTTTTCCTTTTATTCTCATAGGAATGATAGGCTTAATAATGTTCCATTCTCAACCTGTCCTTGTCTGGCTTTACAACCAATTTATCTATATAAAATGAGCAGAGCGTGTTTCTTTTCAAAGCAGGCTGGATCCGTCAATCTTTTTTTCCAATATCTTCTGGTATTTCTGTGTTCTTTTAAATATATTTGAGGCTATGTAATTAGGTGCATGCACATTGAATACTTCCAAGAGCATTAAAACTTATTATAGTGGGTTGCTCCTTCTTTCTAATAATGCTTTTCAGTTAGTCTATTTGTGTGTACACTTATACTCCTATTATATATTTAATATAACTACATTGCTTTTTGATTATTTACCCACTCTCTTTAAATCTTTTTGACTTGTTACTCTCCTGTGTCATTCTATGTTAGGTGAGTCTCTGATAAATAATCAGTAGTTAGATTTCCTTCATCCAGTTTGATAATGTCTACCTTTTAAGGAAGGAGTTTAATCCATTTGCTTTTAATGTAACTACTAATATTTAAAATTAATGCCTACTGCCTGATTTTGTGTTTCTATTTATGCCAATTTTATGTTTTCACACTTCCTCAACTTTTGTGTCCATTAGGTTTTATATTTTTTTTCCATTGTGTCCTTCACTAGCTTGGAAAATAGAGGCTCTATTTCTATTTATTTAGAAGTGCCCCTGGAAATTTTAACTTGTATACTTGGAAAATGCAAAAGTTAATCCCTACATTTATCTCCCTGCTTGCAACACATGGATGTAAGAAAATTTCAACAAATTTGCATTTGCAAATATAGTCAATAGCACATTGAATTTATGTGATCCCATTCACTTATGAATTTGTGTAATCAATATAGAAAGCTAGAAGTTAAGGGAAAAATGTAAAGGGCTAGCATTCTAGTCCAATGACTCAATCTTGACCTGAAAAAGATGGACAAAAAAAATTCAGATGGATCTTAATGGATTTAACCCAGTAGGATAAAAATTTTTAAGATAGATTGAACATTCAAAAATCAATCAACATGATCAACTCTATAAACAGGCTGAAGAAGAAAAATATATGCCCCTAGCAATTGACAAAAAATGCAGTTGGCAAAATCCAGTGTCAATTAGCCTTGAACAAGTCTGAAATCAAGGTGTCAGCAGGTGGGTTCCTACTGGGCGCTCAGAGGAAGAATCCATTTCGTGCTTTTCTCCTAGCTTCTGGTGCTTGTCAGCTGTCCTTGGCATCATGAGCTATAAACACATCATTCCTACCTCTGCGTCTGTTCTCACATGGCTTTTCCTCTGTCTGTGTCAACGTTTTCTGTCTGTCTCCTTGTCCAGATTTCCTTCTTCTTCTGAGGACAACGGTGATTGCATTAGGGCCCATGTTAATCCAGTATGACCTCATCTTAACTCTCTTATATCTGCAAGACCGTGTTTCCAAAAAAAGTCAGATTCTAAGGTTTCAGGACAGGAATTTGGAGGCACACGAACAGACATTTCACTGAAGAGAGTTTATCGATGGAAATTAAGACCAGGAAAAGATATTCAACTTCATTAGCCCTTAGGAAAATACAAATGAAAACAACAGTGAAACAATACTACACATATATCTGAGTGGCAGAAATACAAACTAGTGCAAACAGCAGATGCTAGCATGGTTGTAGAGGAACTGGATTCCTCGTTCATTGCTGATAGGAACAGAAACTGGTAAACCCTCCCTGGATAACATAAATGAGCTATCAAGCCATGGAAAGCCAGGAGGAAACTTAATTGCATTTTACTAGGTGAAAGAATCCAATCTGAACAGGCTCAATACTGTATAATTCCAGGGAAGTGGCATTCTAGAAAAGAAAATATGGAGTAAAAAGATCCGTAGTAGCCAAGGGGTAAGAGGAGGGAGAGACGAATAGGCAGATCTCCGAAGATGTTTAGGGCAGTGAAACTACTCTGCGTCATTCTGTAAGGGTGTTTCCATGTCAATATGTGTTTGTCTAGAGCCACAGACTATACAACGCCAAGACTGAACCCTGCTGTAAACCATGGACTACAGGGGATAATGATGTGTCAGTGTAGGTTCATCAGTTGCAAGCCACTGTACCAGTCTGGTGGGGGATGTGGATAATGTGGGAAGGTATGCATGTGTAGGGAAAGGGAGTATATGGGAAATCCCCTGTATCCTCTGGCCAATATTACCGTGAACCCAGAATAGCTCTTAAATATAGTCTGTATAAAATCTGAATACTTGTAAGCACACTCACATACCCACAAATTAGTACAAACAGAACTGAGGAAGTCCAAATAAAATTGGTGATCATACCTGTGTCAGAATCCTAGTTTTAATATTTTACTACAGTTTTGCAAGACATTATCCATGGGAGAAATTTACATTTTCCAAGTCTTATGGCACACTGTGAACAGTTTGTGGCATACTAAGTGAGAATTGCTGCCTTTAACATTTTACATAGGAAATCCGTGTTCAACTTGTTTTGTTCTGCTTGGATTTCCTTTGGTTCTAGTTTGAAGAATCTTAAACATGTTAGGCTTAAATTAAAATGTAGCTCAAAGTAATTAAGAGCAGAGGACCCATTTAGATTAGATATCCGAATAAAGATGTAAAATTTGGAAAAGTGGTAGTATACTATCACAAATTGTGATATATATACTATGTCATATAATATGTATACATAGTATATGTATACATATATGTACATGTATATACACATACAAAGTATATACCATGTCATACACTATGACAAACGGAAATTGTCCTTCTGAATTCTCCAGGATACACTCTCTTGTAAGTAGCCACTTCAGTAGGAAAATGAACAGGGAAAATAACATTCATTCTTCTTTCCCTCTAGATACCGACTTATTGGTAAGACCTCTATTGCATGCGTCATCTCAGGCAAGACTGTCACCTGGGATGACGATCCACCTGTTTGTGAGAGTGAGTTGAAACCGTCCTTGTTCTTACCTTTTCCAATAGATTCTAAGTTTCCCCCTGAAGTTATACAAATCTTAAGTGGATTCCTTTTGTGCATTCTATCCCTCAAAACCTATGGGGTTTCCGGCAACTGTTTCCTTATGTTTTTTCCTTATGTCGTGCCTTTTCTGAATCTGGGGACTTAATGCATAAAAGCCTTCAAACCTTAGTTTTCCTTCAGTTAATTCAGAATGACGTTGATTGTGCCACCCCCAGTGTAACAGTCATTCTGCTTGGCAAATTAGTCAAGATTTTTCTAAAGTGATGCTCTCCAAGGCTGGTGAAGCTGTGGATCAATCAACACTCGCACACACGTGGAGGTCCACAAAACCTCTTGAGAGGCACCAGGTGCCATAAGCCTCAAAATGGACATAGACTTTGACCCACTTCTTAGAATTTATACTTGGGAGATAAATACAGACTTTTCCCAGGAATTCACTTTACACTTCTCATTGCTTCATTCATTATAATAGCAAAAATGTTAAGGTAACCAAAATGTTTCCGGCTATGCTTTGGAAGGTATAGGAAGGAGAGAGTCTTGTTAAAAATGACTATCGAGAATTCTTTAAGAAACATGAAATTGAGCAACGCAGAATTAGAAGAGATACATCCAGGGGCACTTGAGAGACTCAGTCTGTTAGATGTCTGACTCTCGGTCTCAACTGAGGTCTTGAGCTCAAGGTTGTGAGTTTGAGCCCTATCCTGGACACCACACTTGGCTTGGAGCCTACTTACAAAAGAAGAGGAGGAGCTAGAGGAGGAAGAAGATGAAGAGAAGGAAGAGGAAGAAGAAGAAGGAAGAGGAGGTTAGAAGGAGGAGGATTAAAAAGGAGAAGAAGAGGAAGAGGAGAAGAAGAAGAAGACAAAGAAGAAGGAGAAGGAGGAGAAGGAGAAGAAGGAGGAG